ACTACTACTACTACCACCACCACCACTACTACTACCACCACTACTACTGATCTGATACTACCACCACTACTACTACTACCATACTACTACTGCTACCACCACCACCACGACTACTACTACTACCACTACTACTACAACTACAATCACCACCACCACCACTAGGACGACTAATTCTCAGCTTTATCTCCAGTCAGCTCTAGCCTTAGTTGGCTCTAACTCCAATCAGCTGCAGCCGTAGCTCTGGTCAGCTCTTCAACATGCACTTTGGAAGGAAGTCTCGTACAAAATGCGTGTTCGAGAGATAGCGGACGCACGGTGGTTCCGAACCTGGCAAGGCTAGCTCTGCGGAACGACGGTTGCGGAATGGCCTCGCGTCATGGTCGGATCATGGTCGGATCATGGTCGAATCGTCCCTCCATTGTAACACTAGAGTTTTCACCTGTGTCTAAAGCGCATTTCGACTGCGCAGGCTCACACAGTCTGGGTGCCTCGGATCATGGTCGGATCATGGTCGATCGTCCCTCCATTGTAACTAGAGTTTTCACCTGCGTCTTACGCGCATTTCGACGGCGCAGACTCACAGAGTCTGGGTGCCCCGGGCGGGTGCTTCTAACGACTGCGCTGCTTCAAAGTCGACTTTTCGTGACAGGCGCATGGGATCGGAGCTGTTGTACGTGGCAGGCGCAATACTTTCGACGGTGCAGTGAATCGTGACTTTTGGACATGTGGCTCGTTTGCAGATTTCGTGGGAGCACAGAACTGGGCGACCGTCGAAGTGTAGATTTCATGGCAGGGCGCAGCACTTGGTGAACCTCGAAGTGTAGATTTCGTGGCAGGCGCAGCACTGGGTGAACCTCGCAGCGTAGATTGTGGCAGGCGCAGCACTTGGTGAACCTCGAAGTGCAGATTTCGTGGCAGGCACAGCACTTGGTGAACCTCGAAGTGCAGATTCCGTGGCAGGCACAGGACACTTGTGAACCTCGCAGTGCAGATTTCGTGGCAGGCACGCCACTTGGTGAACCTCGAAGCGCAGATTTCGTAGAAGGCGCAGCACTTGGTGAACCTCCAAGCGCAGATTTCGTGGCAGGTACAGCACTTGGTGGAGATTTCGTGGCAGGAACAGCACTTTGCGAACCTCGAAGCGCAGATTTCGTGGCAGGCACACCACTTGGTGAACCTCGAAGTGCAGATTTCGTGGAAGGCGCAGCACTTGTTGAACCTCGAAGTGCAGATTTCGTGGCAGGTACAGCACTTGGTGTTACATTTTTGTGAACCTCGACGTAAACCACCGACGAAAAGCAAAAGAAGAAGCCACTGCGTGCACACTGCCACTGCGCGAACAATGCCAGAGCGAGTACCCCTGCTTGCGCGACGCCATCGTTGCGGGCCGGAGTCCGCAGGGCGTGTGCGAAGGGAGGTCAATTTGTTCTTATAGGAAACTTCCGCCGCCGGCTTGCCCGGGAAGTGATTGTAGGCGCAAAGAAAGAAGGTTTTCCTGTAGTTGGCTCTAGGAGACCGCAACAAATATAGTTACAAAAAAGACCCTCCACTCTCCCTTGCACCCTTTTCTTGCAATGGTCGACACACAAGGCCAAGCTAGCCTTGCAGGCAACACCTGGCAGGCCACCAAGCTCCAAGGCAGGCATTTGGGCCAAAAAGGGCAGGCGGGCTTTGCAAAAGCAGCTGTGGCATCTGTCAAGCTGCCAAACCAGAAGCTTCCTTAAGCTGCGAAGCCAAGGCAGAAACTGAGCAAACAAAAAAAGGAGCAAGGAAACAGGGTGGGCAGCAGGCTGGCCAACCCTCCAAGGCGCCACCCTGCAAGGCTGGCCGGCCACCGAACCCCATACCAAGTGGCACCGTTGCAAGCAGACAACATGCCCACTTCACCCCACCTGGTCAGGGTCGCCGTCCTTAATCAACGTCAGACACGACCAACGCGCGCTGGCTTTGCGGCAGAAAACCTGGTGGAACCCTGTTGCGGCTGAGAGAATCAGCCCACTCATTTCGCACTCCAGCGACATGACTGCATGACAAAGGCTGCTTCACGCGGAGCATCCCAAACGCGGCATAGCTCTGGTCGTCATGTCAGCTGAGCAAACTGAAGCACGAAAGACCCGCGCTGCGGCAACTCTTCACAGCGAAGAGCCTCGCACTCTGTGGCAAAAGCATTGCAGCACACTTGGTCCAGTCATGCTCGCGAATGCGCAACTGACAACCAATGTGGTGAAGGGCATTGCCGGGCATTGTGAACCAACTGTGCTGCCCACGCTGATTCTTTGCAGGCGGTTGTGTTTGGGTTCTCATAGCTGGAGAACACTAAA